GCACATGCCATGCATTGATACCCTAAGCTGGTTGCATCATATCTGAATAGCAGTGATGCCTGGTTGTTATTTTATAAACTAGGATTCATATGATAATATGGTGTTGTGTGTTTTTGCAAGAAATATTCTGTAGATTCCAGGCTTAGACTGGGGTGATATGGCTCAGAAGAAAGCAGTTTTTATAAGCATAAACAAAATTTCAGGGAGAAGCTACTGAGAGAAGGAATTCAAGTAGGTTTGAAGGAGGGTTTGGGTTTGAATCCAAGCTTCTCTGCTTTTAAAACCCATAGACTTTGTATCAGAATTCCTAAGACACTGGGAACCATAATTCTGGTCAATCTAAAGTAATTATGTTTTCTCTAATTTTGAGATGTCTTACCCAATTAGATCTTTGCCAAAATTTGTTTTCCGCTTCTAAACAGTAATGGCTTCCCTCTTAAAAACATGTAAAGAATTAAGTGGAGGGCATGGGATAGATAGTACCAGCTGGCAAAGTCCCAAGACAAATAGGTACATTTACAGGGGGAGGATAGAGAAATGGGGAGGAAGAGGGGAATGCAATTTACTTTACTGCAAGTACAATTGGCAAGGAGCCCTTTGGAGATATGTTAAAGATTGAAAATAGTCTGGGCTGGTACACGTCCTCACATATCTACAGAAAACACACAAGGAATCACCTAAACTAAGTCATAACTTGAATTTTGGGTAAAATTAAGTAGAACCACAATTCCTAGCTCCAGTTCCACCGTGGAACCACTAGATATTCCCTTATATTAGAAGCTATATTTTAGTGTATTGATTTAAAACAAATATTCCTAACTTAACCATTGCAGCCTTCTACATATGTGTATATTTGAGTATTTTAGGTCATTATTCTTTCTCTTTTTTTATTTTAAAGAGAGTAGTAAATAAGAAACAAACAAAGATATAGAACAGTAGCAGCATACCAGTATCACAAACATAAATAAATCAAAGCAAGAACATTCAAAGTGATACAGAGTCCCAAGACAAAATAATATGAATCAACAGTGGTTGTTACATTACGTATCGCTACCCTCAACTACACTGCTCAGATTACCAGATGTAGGAATGAAAGACTTCTCAAACCATTACAGGGAATAAGAAAATAATTCTTTGATAAAACAGTAGAGATGATACAGAGTTTCACTAGACAAGATGGTAGGAGTTCACCACTGTAATTCCATTGCATATGAGCAACTTCAAATCAGTCGCTCAGACCACCAGACACAAGCATGCAAAGTCAATCAGAGCACAAAAAATTGTAATCATTAAGTGTTCATTTCAATACACCATCAAACATCAGCAATACAGTGATCGCAGCTATTCATATACATATTTATATTTGGCATTGTTCTTTCTCTTAAAAATCATATTTTCCATCAGTCGCTGTTTTCTGCTGGTATGCTAAAAGACACCTTTAGAGCAAAGGTTAAATTCAAGATGAAGTGGAATAAACCCACTAGGCTTTTTGCTTTGAGAACTCTGCGGAAGTGCTGAGTCAGCTGCCTGAACCGTTAAGTGGAATGCACAGAGCATGTTGCTCTGCAGCCCGAATTCATTCTCGGTGTCTCTGGTTCCATACTGGTTTATGACCAATGACTAATGCTTCACCCATGAGTCATTAAACCCATTCTGCCCTTTCTTGGTTCCGTAATCTTCTTGGAGTTCATCCTTGTGTCCCATGGTCCAATGCGCTAGCTCGGTGTTTGGATGACTGAGTGAACAGAAATAGCAATAAAAATGTATATGTGATAGAACGGTTCAAAATGCAATTCCCTTTAGAGAAGACTTCCGAGCAAATAAAATTCCTCCCAAACCATTTCAAATCCTTTAAAGTATTTGAAGTTTTCAGTTTCCTCTGCACCTTCATGAGAGGTCAACAAACACAGCGAGAGTATCTGCTAGCTCTGCACACACTCACTTTGCCACAAAATTCACTTCACAAGGTAGCTCTGCTTTTTAATGCTCTTGATTAACTACACTAATAGAAGAAGGCAGAAGCATGGATAATCTAATATAGATAGGAGCTGATGAATATGCATGTGTTTGATGTTCTAGAAAACTACTTAAAAGGAAACAGTGATGTACCACTGATGGCTAACGTTAGGATAAGTAAAAGAAAGATGTTCAACTTCTTGACTACTACCCAGTTCTCTGAAATCCACATCATTTTAAGAGCTTCTATTTTTGCAGAAAGGACTGCGAAGGGCTTGATAACTATTCCAGGAATACAGCATACTAAGTGGAAGGAAATGGCTTTAGGTGGGGAAGGAAGTGGGTATAAATAAAGCCTGGGAAAATCTTGCTCACAGAGGGGGGGTAGATGCTCTTGGGGAAGGTGTATAGATTTAGCTGCAAGTGCTGCTTGGCACATAGCAGTAAGCATTCAAACATATGACCCAAAGGATAAAAGCTAGTCTACCTGAAACTCAAGTAACTGGTGAATATTCTACAGGGAGGTGGACGGAGCACAGTGGTGAAAAGTGCAAACAGATGTGATGTCCAGAGTTCAGGCAGGCGGTGTCCAATTGCAGTCCTCTGAATGGAAGGTGCAGAGAGGGGCCTGGCCTGTGTGGCACATGCTGAGGATAAGTAGAGTTGGATGCTTGGTTAGGAGGACAGAAGGTCAGATAAGAGAACTAGCCACAAGTAGAAGCTTGATGTTGATATTAGGAACTTGAATATGAATCAGAGCAATCATGGAACCAAATATATGACAGCCAGGGACCAGGGGTCCAGACAGGAAGATTATCTTTGTATAGACCTGGGACATAGGAGTTGTGGTCCAGTTGATTTTTTTCTTGATACTAGGAATTAAACCCAGGGCTTTTGCACTGAGCTACATCCTCAGTCATTTTTCATTATGAGGCAGGGTCTCTGCTAATCTCTAAGTTGCCAAAGTTGGACTCAAACTGCAATACTCCTGCCTCAGCCTCCCAGCGTGCTGAGGTTATAAGTGCATATCACTATGCTCAGCCCCTAGTTAGCTTTAATTTGCTTTCTCTGTTGTAACTAGAGGATTCTCCAGTTATAATTAAGGGGCAGGAAATATGAACAGACACGTGATTACTTGTCTCCAAAAAAGTCTGTTTTTACATTGCAGGGCACTCTCTAGCCCATCCTAATATTTGGCCTTAAGCTGAAGTCCCAGAGGTATATGCTTCATGTTGATTTTCCCTGGTTGGTTAGAGAAGTCACAGATATAATTTTGGTCTCATTCTTTCTTTTCATTGTAAGCCATCTGTGAATAATGGTGGAGCCAAAAGGTCTACCAGCAGTGGAGGATCTGGTCAGGGGAAGGTGAATGAGAGGATAGTCAGGGAGGCAAATTTTACCTTATCTTCTTGTTCGTAGCTCAAATAAGAGATATAAGTACTCTAAGAAGTATTCCGCAAAAAGAAAGTCAGTTGAGCTACTTAATAACCAAATTAACGTGCTACTAGAAAATTATCCTTCAATAGTTGTTGATATGTGAAATACAACACTTCACTAACCCTGCATTTCTGCACGGCACATTATATCGCCTTATGTTTCTTCAGTGAAGTTCAGTTCTCAAATATTTTCTCCCCACTTCCAAGTAGCAAATAAATAAATAGAGTTCTGTCCTTCAGAAATCCATTTCTTAGAGGAGGCTGCTATTGGGTAGACATAATTAAAAGTAGTGTATCTTTGCGGTCCCAGGGCTAAAAATTAACTGGTGATACCCATTTTAAAAGGATGCTGACATTAACATAAAAGAGCTTAGCCGGCATTTACTGACACCCACCACTGGGAGAAATTAACCTCAGGACTTAAAGGTCAAGTGTGCTAGTGATAAAGCAGCAAATGGAGTATAGCTTTCGACACTGGGTTTATCTGGAGAATGATAATCCTGCAAACTTGAGGTAAGTTGAAGATTTTGTGAGCTCTGAGGAGATGTTTCTTGCAGGACTTCAGAAAGTCAACTCACTTCCTTGGTGCTGAGCTCAGTCATTTTGAGCTTCCCCTTCTAAACTGCAAGGAGAGCAGAGTTCACACCTGGTGAAGTCATCGATTGGGTCTCTACCGAGAGTTCCTTTTATTTGTGATTTCTCACCAGCGCACTGTTGGTCACTAATCTCCTGCTGTCAAAACCTGGTTTCACAAGTGCTCCAGTGAATCAATTGTGGGTATTGATCATTCAGTGGCTGCTAATTGCTGTAGCTTAGAATTTGGTTCAGGAGTGAAAAAAAGATCTATGTGTTCTATCCTTGCTATGTGTTTTTGTAAGAAGAACTTTGCCATTTGCTTTGTTAGCTCATTTTTAAATATAAAACCTATAGAAAAAAACTTGTAGAAATGTCATGATTTGTGTGTATTAAAGGGGAAGTTGCCTTCAGGTTGCATTAACTTATGTATCTTCTTTTACTTAATTTCTCTGCTTTGTTTTAATTTATCACCTGTCTCTATGTAAGACAAGAGGCCTGTTTTTCAAATAAGATTACTTTTTTTTTGGTATTAAGCAACTCATCTTCTCGCCAGTGCACATTTTCATAGAAATAGAAGGATATATTCCTCTTACAAATCATCAGCTGTGTCTCTGGATTCACAAATACTAAGGAAGTATGCAAAAGCAAAGGACAGGAAATGGATTTACAGATGCAAATTTTCATGACAGAAATCTTTCTATTGTTGGCTAATCTACTAGTGGCATTCTGAAACTGACTTCATGGATAAAAAAGATGAATTCTGCTTGGAGATTTACAGGACCAACTTTTGCTGGATGGCCACTGAGACAAAGGATGACAGTTCAGTTGCAGTTATTTGCTCTGGGGAGCGGAAGCAACTTTGCTCCTACATTATTCGCAGGAACCCAGAATTGAATAGGGAAGGGAGGGACATTCGCTCAGGAGAGGCCAGTCGTGAATGTCTAACTGTGGATTTTAAAAGGCAACTTTATTTAACCGTGTTTTTGGCAACCTAAAACAAAAGCTTTTTCATTTTGTCCCTAGACTGAAACTTACAACATGGGAGCCGACACCATCTGTAGATTAAAAGCATCATGTCTTTTGCAAGACAGTATCATCCACAGCTATGCTTTTAGAGTTCGCTTTATAGCTTCTGCTACTGCTGGGAGATGCTTTTGGATACACACAGGATATATAACATCCATGTTCCCTTCTACACCCAGGCATTTAGGTATTATTTAACATTATGTTGCCCATTGTTATGAGCACTTGATTCATATGCCGACTCAATGCTTGAATATGCTGGTCTGGATTAATATATGGTGTAAGAGTAAAATACACCCTGGATTGCAATGACAGTATTGGAAAATGTACATATCTTAATTTACAGGTTGAAATAGTAACATATTGGACATTTAGGTTAAGATTAATTACATCTGTTTATTATTACTTGTTTTCACATGATCCTTAGATTTAGATGCATGACTTATATTTCTGTTGAATAGTGCTGATTTAAGGACGTTCATCAGGACAAGTGATCCTTTGACGTTCTACAGGCGGCATGCACAGTAGCAGGAACTCCAGTTACAGGTCCTAACTTTTAGGGACCCTGTCTCTAGTATCTCCTTGGAACCTGGGCCATGAGTAGCCAGCACTCTCCTGCCTGCTTTTTTTTTTTTTTTTTGGTTTTTCTCCGGTACCGGGAACCGAACTCACGACCTTGCGCTTGCCAGGCAGGCGCTTTTTGCCGCTGAGCTAAATCCCTAGCCCCCTCTCCTGCCTGCTTTGCTCCATATGCATGGGCTGCCCTCAACCCCTACTGCTGCTCCTGCTGTAGCTTCAGGGACAGAGCTGACTGCGGCCCCACTCTCATCACTTCTCTGCAGAAAGGAGAGCAGGCAGCTCCTCTTCTGACTGCTGGAAGCTCCTCTATTTGTTTTGTTGAGGAATCACACAGTCTGACTTTGTTTTTCACCAAGTGCCTGGTGATCGAAGTTGCTCATTAACCTTACTCTAAGTTTATTGTTTTGGTAAATACTTGGTGTTAATTCCCTTGACATTAAATTGGAAAACAGCACAAATATTATCACACAGCAAACTGTGTGTCCTGAGATCGATTCCTCTTTGCTTTTCCTTGACTCACGTTGTGTGAATTTATTCTCCATACAGTGAGTTGCCCAGAGTTTGCGGTTTGACCATCGTTCTCCAGGGTTCGTTCATATCTTCTTGTTTAGGATACAGTCATGTCTTGACTTTCTGGAATGTGCAGATGTTACCCAGCTCGAGTCCTTATTCTGAGACAGTAATTGCATGTGGTGCTCTCAATAACAGGCAATGGATACCAGTTGTCTAATGTGGATTAAAGTACAGTGTTAGCTTCATACAAGGTGACAGGTGACCTGGTCTCTTCCTTTACACCCAAGGTGACCCTTTCCTACAAGTCTTGAGCACAGATGCTCGAGATTGTTAGCTCTCCTGGTGGAGAAAAGGTACCACTTGGGGAAGGAAGTAGAAGATCTTGGTATTGAGGTCCTGTGGATTTCAAGTACTCCTTCACTTACCCATCAGTACAGTATTTTTTTCCTGAGGAGAGTAAGGGAGCCACTATACACAGGGAACCAAGTGCTTGCTCCTTTAGCCTTCTTTCTTAGAAGTAGAGATGTTTATTCTTTGTAGGAAATATGAGGCAAGATAAGCAAGCGATTCCCCTATCACGCACTCTGGAAGTTAAATCACAGTATCCTAGATGATCAGAGCTCATTGGGATCCAAAACGCTGCCTGGTCAGACAACATCATTATAGACAAGGAGCAGCTCCATGCAAGTGAGACTGGAGGGACCCTTTCCAGCTGTGTCTTCTGCATAGTAACACTTCTGAAAACAGAATAAACACAGGCTAACAACTTAATTTAAGTTGGGCCTCATGTGTTTTTGACTTTAAATATTTGAAACTATTTAGATACAATTAATAATAAGATTGCAAAACCAAATGATAAGAATTAACAGTGGTTGTTATATTACATATTGTTATCTTCACCGAAGTTGCTCGGATTACCAGATGTAAGAATGCAAGATTGATCAAACCATTAAAGAGAATAAAAAATAATAAAAAAAACATTAGATGCGATACAGAGTTTCACCATCCAAGATGGTAGGAATTCACCAATGGTTGTTATATTGCATACTGTTTTATTGGTTTTGCTTTGTTTTGTCTTTGTCTGTGTTGTTGTTAACTTGCTATTGTTCTTTTTTTATTCTCTTTAAAGTAAAATTAAAAAGTAATAAGATTGCAAATCTCTGATAGAAAAGAATTTACACTTTGACTCGACATGGTTAGTGTGGATTTACATACAACAGCAGGACCAATCCAACTGAGAGACTTAATATTTTCACTTTCCTGCCATAAATTTACACAGATCCTGCACTACAGATCCCACGAAGGAACAGTGTCTGGGGTGCAGATGGTGCTGCTCATACACAGACAGAATTGGGCCAACAAAACACTTATACCAAACTGCGTATTGAGCAAAGGACTTCCAGGGATAGATACAAAATTCACTAACACACAGGTAAGTCCTTGCTAGTGAGAATTCTGACTTAAAGAATTAAAAATAAAGCTGAGCACACTGGCACACGTCTGTAATCCTAGATACTCAGAAGGCTGAGGAAGGAGGACCACAAATTCAAGGCCAGCCTTTTTCAAAATAAAAATAAATAGGGGTGGAAATGTAGTGCAGTACTCCTAGATTCAGTCCCCAGTACCACACACACACACACACACACACACACACACACATGCACCCTCCTCCACTCACATACATACAAAGGAAATGTCACTAAACTTAGGTCCTTTGATTAAGAATGACAAGCACGGTGACTAGAACGTAAAGTGGTTAGTGACGTGCGCTGTGATATTCCCTCATTGGTTTATTTATTTGGCGACCTGACAATTTTCATACTGAATTGTCGTTATTTGTTTACATGCTCTTCAAGTCACTTAAACACATGTCAAGTGTCTTCTAGACTGGAGGTAGCATGTGGGCACTCGAGAAAATTAGTGATTTGTATTTTCTTCTGCGATTTGCACTTGGACTACATAAAGGATTTTGGTCAAGCTGATAGCAATCTTTGTATCTCCTCAGTTTTTTCATCTGTAAAATCGAGGGTGGGGATTAACATCCCTTCAAGTCCTAAGATGTATGTGAAATAAATATTGTTGAGGCTTTGGAAGATGCTTGAAAAGTTTGTTCTCCCTTGCTGTCTAAGCTGTCCCTTAAGGTATGACCCCAAGTCACAGTGTTTTAAACTGAGAGAAGTATGTTTCTCTGTCAGGCAAAAGAAGTGGGGAGGTAAGCAGTTGAGGCCTATCTGCAGTTCCAGTGGGTCACCAGGATCCCTGCCCAGGTCATCCTCCTTCCTTAGACATTCTACGCACGGAGCTTCGGTCTGGATGACTAGGAGAGCAGATGCCCACTTCAATTAACAGGGAGGCTTGGAGCACATAGTTCTTTAGTGGGGAGAGTTACTGCCTTCAACATTTCAGCTTCCAAGAGTAAGGACAAAAGGGATCATAGATGATGGGAGGCTAACTCTTGTCTGCAGTGTTAAAAATACAAGCGAGACTTATTCAAGACTATTGAAGTAAGGAAGGAGATGGAGTGCAACACCATTGTAAGATTCTCAAACACTGGAGTGATCAGATGGCAAAAGACCAAAGGATCTCAGGCAAGACGATTCAATGTGGTTTGATCGTCTGTGTTAGGATCCTACCCTCCCACAGGTACTGGGATATCGGGACTGTGTCTTTCTTGATGATTATATTTCAAAGGGATGGCTCTCAGGGTGTTGAAAAGGATATTCCTGAGTTGTGGAAGATTTATGTTTCCCAGTATAGGGAGAAAGAGTTTACAATGGCAAGTTTTCTAAAGTGAATGCTGTAAGAAAAAGGAGCTTGGGGTCCTTTAGTCAGGAAGACTGTCTGTCTAAAGTCTGGTTACCCTAGAGAGAATATTTAGGCTTGGTCATATCTCTACCATGGACCTTAATTCATTTTTGCCTTAATTTTGCTTACAATGCTAGTATCTTGGAAAGCTTTTCTGCATAGGTAACATAACCCTCAGCCCAAGTAACTTTCTGAAGTGTCCAAAATTCTTAGAATTTGAGTAGAATGTGAGTAGATCAGGGGCACACCATGTAGAGGCAGAGAGGGCCCAGGACATGAGCTTGCTCCAGTTCAACCACCACTAGCTGTGGTGTCCAAAGTCCGTAGGACTGTGCCAGAGTCAGGTGCTAGGAAGTTTCAGGTCCTCGAAGCAATTATAAGTCACTCTCATTGTGCATGGAAACCTCTATCACTGTCTCTGCCTGAAAATAATTTGCCAAGGGCTCCCGTTTCCGGTTCCTCGCCACTGTAGATTGAGCAGGTCAGGTTGCTGCATGATTTTAGTCTGTTTTTTTTTCTCTCCTCTAAGAGTGACAAGCTCTAATTCTATTTTAGTTTTTGTAAACTTGAAAATGAAAGGTCCTGTGTGGGCTGTGTGGGAGATGCAGTGTGTGCCTCTGCATTCGCGATAAACAGCACATAAATGTTTTCTTAATGTTCTTCAGACACGTTCAGAGACATAAAGAAGGGAATAGACCTAGCAGGTTATTGAGTCCACCTCCCTTCCTTTGCATTGATTGAAACCACCTTACTTGAGCATGCCTTTTGGAATTTTGAGCAAACTAATTTTCTATTTCCCCAGGAGCTGATACTTGTCACAATTCCATTTCAGAAAAATTTCTCTAACGTGGGAGACCTCATTGTCAAGATATTTTACTGCATCTGGTCTATCTCATTTTTTTTCTTGGCTAGCCAGGCAAATTCATGAGATCAGACCCCATTACAGAGCCTAGGTGGGAGAATAAAAACCAAAGGAGATCTGAGTTACATTAGGATTTTACTCTATGAAGTTATATTTCAATGGATGCAATTTAACACTTAATATGTCTCTGAATCCATGTAATAAGAAGTTAAATTATATTCTTGACTACATTTTTACTTTTTCTTATTTCTAGTGGTTTCCCACTAGAATATCTTGAATATCCTGATTACTTTTTTTAATACACGCTATTATTTATCATACTTAGAAAAACTCCAAATAATCTTAAATCATTTCAAATTAATTTAATACATGTATAAATGAAAGATACTTGGGTACCCAAGGAGTTCCTGCTTTCAAAGAGTTGATGGAAAAATCGTCTAGGTTGATTTAATAGTGTACAAGAAAGACACAATATATTATGGTATAAATTTTTACCAAAGGGCTGAAAAGGAGAATAAAAACCTTAAATATCAATACTGAAATGGTTATATAGTCAAACTCTGAGACAGCTGAATCAGAGAGAGGAAATATTTTATGGAGCTGCAGAAATGATAGGGTAGTTACATTTCTATCCAAAGGGGGAGTCTGTTTTCCATTCATAACATTGCATTTGTACCAAAAACACTTGGATATAAAATTCCATCCTGCTATGCCTTGAGAATACACATTAATGTATGAGTCAGTGGACAGAGAGAGAGGAAGAAATAGAGAGAGAGAGGAGGGATATAGTTGCCATTTTGGAAATTACTTAATAAAAAAATCTCTATTTACAAATGCCATTGGTGAAGACTGCATTTAACTGTATACTACTAAGCAAGCATGGAAGGGGAAATTGATATATTTTCTGTCGCTGGTAACATGGGCTCTGAAATACTAAGCAGCAAATATTCCCAATCAGAACAATATGGGATATAGAGCAGAGCATCTGCAGAACCTGAGTAGAGAGAAAAAGTAAAAAGAAGACTGTTTTAGTTTCTTCTGACAAAGGCCCTTGCTGACTCTTTCCATTGTAGGGAATGAGAAATTAATTATCACTGTAGTAAACTATCCACTGTTGCTATGTATGTGTGTTTAACTTGAAGGCAAATTGTTCATGAAATTTTCATTTGGCTTCAATAAGCTGTCCCCTTGTTCACTTATTTATTAACTTTATCACTCATTCATTCGGTTGTTCGTAGTTCAGTCATTCATTCAGTAAATAAAAATTTTAATGCAAGCACAGTCATTATCATTTTATTGTCCTCATAGCATCAGAAATATCTTTGCCCTTTCTCTCATAGATTTGTACTTGGAAGACGTCACTTGATTATTCTACCAAAGATTCTGCTACTCAAAAGTTAGCGAATTGGGACTGGGAATTTAGCTCAGCAGCACAGCACCTGCCTGGCAAGTGCAAAGGTCATGAGTTCGATTCCTGGTACTGGAAAAAAAAGAAAAAAACAAAACAAAACAAAAAAACCCAAAAGTTAGCGAATGTGCAAGGCAACACCCCTTACAGAACTCTGGCTTAACAAGCAAACGCTGCAAGAATCACAGACAAAGCAGCAAACTGGTACAAAACTCAAGGAACTTTATTGTTTTATTTGTAATGATCATATCAACAGCCAGTCATAGATGTGACAGTGGTGTCTGGGTCTAGAAAACAGTAAGTTGACACTAAAATTTTTGAAGCTATCAGCTACCATGAAACAAAGGCAAGGAAAGATTTTATTGTAAGAGAGTAAATTCAATGTGTTATCATTTCTTTAGCCCCAAAGAGAGAATGAGAAATATGCAATAGACATGGACCTGAAATGTGTTTGCCTGAATGTAAACGACAGGTTGCTTTTATCCACAAGGGGAGGATGCTCATTTTCACTTAGCTAGATGTGAAGACTCATCAAGTTATTAATTGCTTTAATCACGCTAAACAGTTTTAACATGGAATTCCTTAGTGTGCCTTCTTAGGTAGAACTCTAGTGAACAGTGATCCAAGGTGGAGTAAAAATATCATTCTTACTGTGGGTTTAAATTGAATCAACTCAGCCAATTTTAATCATTTTAAAAAAAATGTATATGCATCAGACTATTTCATTAACATAATCTACTTTTCCACCATATTTTTACTTGGCTCTTCAAAAAGATTGAAGTTGGAAAGGTCTAGAATTAAAAGTGTGTTATAAGTTGAATGTTTTCCTAGTTAAGAAGATACCTGAAGTTAAATGTTTGCACACAGTGAACCTGGGGTGAATGAGAGCTAGGATTTTGTGAACCATTACCCCAGATACTTTCAAGTTTTGCTTCATTCTACAGAAAGATCTACTTTTATGTATTTCTCCATCACTGGGTGGCTGACTATTTTTAGCTTCCTGTAGATACTCAGAAATGCTGTCTGGATTTGCCTGTAAGTCCTCCATATACTGAAAGCCAGATGAATCATCAGCTCATCTAGACACCACTGGTCTCTAGTGCACACCCTGATGGTGATGAAGAGGGTGACACTTTCCCAGAGAAGAGACCTCACTCATTGTCATATTGTTGATTTTAGTTTTTATTTCTTTTTGCTTAAGATTATTGCTTAAGGTCTTTGTTTAGGATTTTGAAAGTGGCTTAGCATGTTTTAGTATGTTTCTGGGACTCCCAATAAGCTGAAAAATTTTTAACCCTTGTGACAATCCTAATTTTTGTAGTTAGACATGGTCTATGTCTCTTCATTTTCTGCAACTTTGATTTGGGAAATGTAAATGGTGGCTGGCCAATACTCTAAGTTCTTTGGATACACGTCATTAGGCTTTGCTCTTTTGAAACTTGAACTTTGAAAAGTGTTTCCTTGCCCTTTACCTGTATCTCTGCAACCACACATCTAAGTTTTTCTGTCTTATGTTCATCAGTCATTCACAAATCTGCTACCTTCCATTAGATTGTAAATTCCCTGGCTGACAAGAACTGTATCTTATTTCTCCAGTATCCAACTAATGTCTAGTACAATCTTTGCTAAATTTAAATACTTAAATATTTTCCCAGTAAGTTGTAGCTTTTGTATCTGATCTTCCTCTATGTAGACATTTGCTTATTATGTTCCAATCATCTTTTTCTTCCCAGTGCCTCTGTTTTTATTTGTGTGTTTAAACTTTCCCCGTGGCCTTCATGCACCTGGAGGAGGTGTTCCTGTCCTCAGCTTCTGCAGTGTGTCCTCACTGATCAGGCTAACCAACACACAGTGTGAGTTGGCCACAGTGTTTGGTTAAAGAGTGAACGAGAACATCCAGCCTGAAACAATCGCGAGAACATCCAGCCTGAAACAATCGCGAGAACATCCAGCCTGAAACAATTGCAACAAAATTTTCTTGAAAAGCTGAGACAGTGATGCCTTTTCTTTCAGAGGATGAGGGCAGCGCGGCATTTTTTGGTAAAAATATTGCAAACATGGGCATTTAGAATGAAGTAGGCTTTATGGAAGTGGAGCATAGATACAGAGTTTGGGTTTCCTTGTGGACATATTTATGTTGCTGGTTCAAACCATACCTCAAACTCACATTACCCATTAACTTTCCAGGGGTGGAAAACAATAGATTTCTTTATTGTTTTAGCTGTTGATACTGGATTTCTGTTGTGTTCTGTTCTCTTTCTCTCTCTTTCTGTCTCTCACCCTCCCTCCCCTCCTCCCTTCTTTCCTTTCCCTCTCCCTCCTTCTCTCCCTCTCCCTGTCCAAATGCACATGGCTGATGCACTGTAGTTTCAGGCTATTTGGTCACATAAGTGTTTTGGCAGTCTGCTTCATTGATTTTTCTCCTTGCATAATTCCTTATCTTTTTCAGCTTCGTTTTTTCCCCCGTCAGGTTTCTAGCTCATATTTGTTAGTGATAATCCATTGTTTATAACGTCATCAAATCATAAAATGGCCATAGATGAGTTTTACCTACTCCTTTATTTTTAGATAAAAGAAACACTGATGAGACTAAGTGATACATCTAAGATCATGCAGCCATAGTTTCCATAGTTTCAATTATATTCATGACTCAGTGTCATCATGATCAATATGAGTTGGTAAGCTGCCCTCTGAAAGGTAGAGGGCAGGCTTTTTTTTGAGGGTAGAGTTCTAAATATGAACTGTTTGCTTCTCACTAATGGAAGTGTTTTCCTAGATAGTTTTCCATCTGTCTTCTCTAGTTAGTTGTCGCTTTTTGCTACTGCTTTTGGGATCTCTTTGATCATTCTCCTTGCCTCTAATCTTGTGCCTCCTGCATGATAGGAAAGGAAGGAGAGTCACTAAGGCTAACCATGCTTTAGAAGCTAATAATCTCAACTTTACACACACAGTTCTAAACCCAGTCGTCGCCTCAGGGTGGCTTAATACCTCTGATAACATAGATGGCCATCCAGGTTGTTTTCACTGATGTGCTTTCGTCTTTTTGAATCTGCTTCTGGCCAGATGAGTGTCTGCAGTTGTTGACAGATTACAAAAGAGGAAGGGTGAGAAGGGAAAAGAGAACCATGAGGAAGTGTTAGTTATTAATTTTTGAAGGGCTGCTTTATGGGAAGTAATACTAAACCTCATTTAACAAGTAAAACGGGCACCTTTGAACAAGGTGATGCATTTGGGAAATTGTGGCTCTGGTTAATTGCATTTGACAGCTTACTGAAAGGATATTTTGAAAATCCTTCTGTTTTTAAGATCTTTTCTTAATATGCCAGTCTACTTAGATTTCCTAATAAGCTCTAATGCATAGCAGAGAATAATTTTTTCCTTAGCAATTACATCTTACATTGCCTCTTTTTTCTTTTTCTTTCTCTCTCTCTTTCTTTCTTTTTTCTTTCTTTGTCTTTTTGAGACAGGGTCTCACTATGTAGTTCAGGCTGGCCTTGAGCTCACTTTGTATCCCAGGCTGGTCTCAAACTTACAATGATCCTCCTGCCTCAGCCTCCCGAGTGCTGGGATTACACGTGTGTTCCACCACACCTGGCTACAATGCCTCCTTCTGAGTGATACTACTGTGGTGAGAGCTGGAGTGCAATGTGTTTGAACTTGGCTAGATCCTTAACGCTGCTTATCACTGCAAATGTGTCAGACAGTAGTTCTGCCCACTCCTGTTTTATTCCACTCTCCCTTGGGTCAGATGGAAAAATGGTGCTTTCTGCTGCCTTACGAATAGTTATGGCTATGTACTGTCTCTGGTTGAGGACGTAGAAAGAAGTGAAGTGTGTCATGCTGGGTGGAAGCATTTACTTGCCCTGCCTGAGTGTCTACTTTACTCTTCTCTTGTGATAATAACAGAGCACCTGGCATCCTGATAGGACCTCTGCAGCCCAGGTGGGGTAAGTCATTTTTGCTATTTTAAGCCACTAAGATTTGAGGATTGTTTTTTGAAAAAAATTGTTTTTGGTACCGGGAAGCAAACTCAGGACCTTGTGTTTCCCAGGCAGGCACTTGTGCTGCTGAGCTATAACCTTGGCCCAATTTGAGGGATTTTTCGATTCAGCAACTTATCCCAGCTTTACCTTGTGACCTGCAGAATAAAAGTCTTGGACTTCTCCACCTTCTTTTTAATGGGAAGAGCTCTTCTTTTCTGTTTTATTTGGAAAAAAAAAAAACCCTCTTTCTACTGCCTTAAAAAAAATTAAAAACTGTCATATAAGAGTTTGGCCTTAATGTGCATTGAACCCTAGGACTTAATGGTTTTTCAAATGTTTGCTCCTCAAGTTTTCTCATGCTGGGCTTCTGTCATAAGAATAGAACACAGAAAAAGTTTAATTAATTGGAGGTTTCCATATATTCTGCATTTCCCTAAAGGCACACCCAAGCTGTGTGTATAAATTGACATGTGTAGTTTGTGAAATGAGGCCCATTGGTTGATAATACATATTATAAAGCATAGCAGCAACACATAGTAAATATACAGTAGATACTGACATGGAGTGGCAGCTATTTTGTAACTGCGGCTTGTCATTCCTAATATTTTATCATGTAAGAGCTCAGGCAATGCTCATACCCCCTTCCACTTAAGGCCAACATTCAGTATACTGCTGGTAGAATTTGGACCACATAATATTATCTGAGGATCTGCGGCAATTCTTCAAAGATGGGCTGAGTGGGACAGTCACATTTTTACAAAACAGAGCTGAAAGGAAATGATATCAGACTCAGAATTAACTCATTACTAGAAAATACTTTTCAAAAATCTTTTCTCTGTGTACTTTGAGTATAAGATTTCTGACAACAGAACCTATTCTTGTGTTAACTATTTAAAAATGCACATACTCATTTTTAGATGCATGTGAGTCTGATTACACCAAGGAAGGGAAAGAGACACATAGATTAGACTGAAGAACAGATAATTCTCAAATCACATATACAGTAATAGAATGATCAACAACAATTCTGAAGGAAGGAACTTGTGATTGAGTAAATTATTTGCTTAAGAGATATTTAAAAACATCTATTTTCCTCTGAAAGATATAAAAATGCTTCTTGATTTAGCACATAGAGTTTCATGACCAGTATTGTATCTTTCCTGGCAGACTGAAGATTTCGCATCACTTTGGGTGTCATTAATCTGAAATGAATGGCCAATGTCACCGTGGAGAACGCAGAGAGTGCGTTGGGGGACGTGCGTGGTTGCAGGATGTTGCAGATTGGTTTGAAAAACTAAGTTCTTGCTACAAGGATACTGACTGCCCTTGTGTTTGAAGCAATGAATTGCTAAGCTGGACTGTGGGACCAGGAAGTGGAACAAAACCTGGCAAGTGAAGGCTCATCCGCTTGAGCTTTAGTTAACTGAAGTCTTAGATTACCTGTCCCTATGGTGCAGATGTAAACATTTCCCCTCTGCTTTCTTCTCTCCTAACTATAAACAATGGCCAACTTCTCTCTATGTCTTTGGCTTGGACTGGGCAGTGGGAGTTAATGGTACAATTATTTAGAAGTAAACAGGTTCTGTTTTGAAATACTTATGGTCTATTCTCCAGCTGAAACTCTCCCGACCCCAAGAGTCGGGAACTCTTGGGGCTCCTCCAGTGCCAGTGTAAACAGCATGGTTAGGAAGAGGAATCTCCCTTTATGCATTTTCAGGGCCTCTGTGTTGCCAGATCATGTTTCAGCTCCCCAAAGAGAAATCTCAGTGAAACAGTGTACTGAAAGCTTCAGATATAGTTATTTTTTTCTGTTATGTTTTAATTAGTGCTCCTAAGCTTGAACTGTACTGCTGACTTACTTCCACCCTTATCATAGCTCCCAAGACTTTGGTTTAAGATACAAAACAAAGAGTTTTTCTGCACCCATGTTGCCAACTAAACTCAGTATCTACTGGATGTATACATTTTTTGTCTGTCAGTTCTATATCATTATAACTACTGTCTTAGCTTCCTGATCTTGCATATTACCAACTCATTTCTTCAGTGAATACATTGGTACTGATAGGATTCATACTTTAAATCTGCTTATGTCCACATGACATTAAATCTAGCAGTGGGAAATGGTATCATCACATTATAGTTATTCTATTGACAAGCAAATTTCCCTGAGTAGTCAGTCACAGAAATAGAAAGATTATTCATTTTCTGAACTGCATGATGGTTATAAAACAGGTAGTACAGGCTAATGGAAAGAGCGCTAGATGGATGACCATGATTTTTACTATGACAGAAAACCATTAATTAAATGCCTTTTTTACATGTTCTGTGCTAATCTCCACATAGAGAGAAATACTTAGAATATATTTTGTCCTTTACCAATTGGCCAGCAGTGATATATTGATACAGATAAAAATATTTGATGATGTCAGGTCCAAAAAGTACCGTAATTGCATAAAGATCAAGGATTTATTTTGGGAGGTGTAAGAAATGACAGAAGGAAATGCTAAGCACTAAGGTCAGAACCTACTTCAGAAGGAATCTACAAGTGTAGGTAGTTGCTGGAATTCTGTGTTCCTGATAGGTAAGTTGTGGGAAGTAGCCAAGCCTTTTCTAATTAAAGCAGAAAGTTTGGGTTTTTGAAACAAATTAATAAAACTTAGAAAAAATGTACTTCCTGCATGTTTTAGGGCTTTTTTGTTGTGTTAAGCTATTATTTATATTACTCTCCTATTAGCAACCAGATCTTAATCAATTTTTTTGTTTGTTTGTTCTGGGAATGGAACTCAGGACCTTGTCCTTGCCAGACAGATAAATTTAATTAATTTGAAGAAATGAAGAAATGCATTGCCATGACTCAGTGAGTCAGGTCTTCATAGATTAATGGATAGTGAAGGGCCTGGAGTTAGAAGAGGAGTGCTGAAGTGTCCATTAAGAACAGATGGCTGTCTTTGGTTTAGATTGGAAAAAATGGGCAGAAGAAGACTAGAAAATGTGCTTGTAAAATGTCAAACAATGGAGTGTCTATGAATTTAGCTAACATTGGAAAGTGTA